ATATATATATATATATATATATAATACACCAATTCTAGTAGGCAATGCATGTTAGGGTATTTTGTATTGGCTTTAAAGTCACTTCTCGAAATGTTTTTCAATGAATAGTGGGAGCAAGGGATCGAGGGTGAACAATGAGTTCAACTCCATCAGATTTCAGCCCCATATGGCAGAGATTAATTCACCAAGACAGGCTAGCTGGCATGCGAGCCGACACAGAATTCGCTCTTCACTTCCAAAAACGTTTCTGCTGTGGAAATTCGCCAAAAACAATGATACTAGAAGTTTGGAAACAAAAAGTACACGCCAAAACTATAACAGCACTGTCCGTCTCATCCCAAATACTAAACCATTCAGTTCTGTCATTGTTTCGGTGCGCTTCACTATGCCCAACCTAGACAGAAAAGTCGAAGACAAAACTTCCAATCCGCGGCTTGCGCCTTTACGACCGCCTTGTTCAACAAACGCATTTCATCAAGTTGTAAGTAAAATGTAGCATAACAATAAATGGGGCAAGTTTGGAACCGATCGATGAATCGTCGTTTCCGAAGTTTGGTACTATTCCTAGAATGTTTCCATAACTTGAAATCGAATAAGTAGTCCTGGATCACAAAGTGCTCAGAATGTTTTCGCGTCGGTCACCAATTCAGCGAGTCAAAATGGCGTCGGATTGGTGTCAGAAATTGGGTGATCCGACAGCTGTGGCATGGAGGCTATAAAACGGTACTTTTTGCTACACATGGCTTTTTCGAAGGTGTGCGGTTTCACCCTGCAGCGTCAACTAGTACGTCCCGATTAGACAGCTGTTATCAACAGCTTAAGATAGTTGACAGTCAAACCAAAGACTAGAAAACAGTGAAGATAAGTATCAAATGGTTCAAAAATCAGACGAATCTGTCCAGCAGTAAGCTATACAGTAATCGGTGTTTTTAAATCTAAAACCTAGGAATTTCCCCCACCTGTTCAGAATCGCCGATTTAGACGGAAAAGTTAGTGAAGAAGTGGAAGCTGCAGCATTACGTTGAATCATAAAGCCAGTGTAACTGAAGATGAAGAAAGATCTTTGAACTACCGCTGGTGAAGAAATAAGCCACCAATTGGCATCGACCTTCAGGCAATCAAGAGGATTCGCCTTGCAAGATGGAACCACCTGAATATTGAGTGGGTGACTTCCTTTGGAAAAGATTTTTCCACAGAGAAAGTACAAAAGTGTTCCCTGTCAATTACGACTTACAGTGGGGTCACGTTTAAGATAATTACGTGGTGTTGTTATAGTGCGTTTTTGCCTCCGAATCAGACTCAAGCGAAGACGTAGTATTATGCGATACGACACGGGGGGTGAGTAGGCATGAAAACGCCGCAGGGCGGAGACTGGACATCATGTAAGGAAGGGAAAGTCGTGACCGGACAGGAACAAGGTACAGTCTCAAAAACAGTACGACAAAGCGTGACAGTTATATCCCCATGTCACCCGAACAACACGAAATGCAGTGAAGACATTAAGTCTGGTACAAGACCAGATGTGATGGCTGGTGGACTGTATGCATTTCGGTGGATAGTTCACTTCAACGGATGAACGAAATCCCGAGAGTCAGTCTCTCCATCTCTGTCCAGAAATGTAAAATATGACTTGGACTATGGCGTCCCAAAAACAGGGAAAACAATACGGTAATCTACAGGAGTACCTCAAGATGTAATTTTTAGGAATGCGAACAAAAATAATCCACTAACCGGGGTCAGAGTCGCCACGGAGTCCTCAAACGAGTTCATAAACAAAATTATCTCCAAACGGGTGCCTAATCGTTCAATCTTGCATAAATGGAGCAACAATCGGTCCTCATCTGTCAGGTCGTCCACATTGAGTTGATCGGTGAATTCGTATTTCAGATAGGTTTTCATTTCGTCCTGGGTAGGCAACTGGTGATAGATTCGATCAGCCACATCCTGGCTAAGTTCCAATCGTGTTATGTCTGACCACAATCGCTCGCGTGTGTACTTTTCGGATTCCAAAAATCGAAGGAGCACGCCAATACAACTGAACAGCAAGAAAAAAACAGTAAAAACAAAGTAAGGAATAGAGCAGCCAATAAAGATGAGTTGCATCAGTACAGTGAGGTCATCAACGAGAGCCAGCTGATGCGTTTGCAGCCCTAGACACTCAGATGGGATCGAATCAGGATTTCGCGTAAGGCAGGTTGAGAACCCATCGGTCTGTGGTACCGGTGCAATCAAACAGAGCTGATGCAGTCGAACTCCGAATCGGATGACGGATATGGACTGTTCACCACAATGGCGCGGGCATTTGAGTATTTATCCCGTCGTTTAGCCTAGTTTCACAAGCCCGTTGAGGGCTTTTTGTGACCTTGTCAGGTCACGAAACCTGTCCTCTTAAAATGTGGACCTTGGTGCACACCAAAGTACTTCGATCAATCGTTTCAGTCCAAATCATTAGGCAACTCCGAAAGCCACTCTCTCAGGTGTCCCAATCATGAAAAGCTTACGTGCATTTTTTACGGTCTTTTAGGCTGTCGAACAACTCAGTAAGTCGTTTTTATTCATCTGTTCGCATGAGGTTGCACTCTCAACGTTGACAAGCCTGATTCAATAAATACGGTTCTGCTGGTCGGGCGTGTTCGGTTGCACGGCATACTGCCTGGATAGGCAATGCTGATGTTTTTACACCAGCGCATTACGAAATCAATAAAATATCCTTGACTTTTTGTAAAGCAATGATGAACAAAACACACCAGCGAAAACTGCGCGCAAAAGTCACTGGTTCAAATGACGTTAGCTTTTTGTTCAGAAAGAAAACAAGTGCAATTTTCGTTAAGCACGTTGACCTGTCATAGAAAAATACCCAAAGGAATGTCATAACAAAATGCTCATTAGCATTGGTTCAAAGTCCATGTTTCTTTCAGTGGCTGTCATAGAATGCCAGTGAAAGTAGACAGAAAATACGTTTTTCCTAGTTGATATGGACAGCGTACATCGTAAAGAAAAGCCTAGTTATATGGATACCTTTGTATGGTTGTCGACAGAATAATCGTCTGGGTTGCTATGGCAAACAGACTCATGAAAAAGGTCACTGGAACGTACACTCCCCAGAATTAAAGAACCTTTTTTGTCCAACGATGTCGCAAAAAGAACCAGTTGTCCACCGTAGCTCAAAGCCCAATCATTCAGATACACGGCACTCAGTATTCGCACAATGGAACAGAATTTTCAAAAGCCACGACCTGTCCATGGTGGACTAAAACAGACAGGCAACTGAGTTCAGAGTACGAGTCCCTTGAAGCCCATCTAAGTATCCCGGGGTCTCAGCGATTCTATAAAAGTATTCCAACAGACTTTTTCCTCCAGGGGTATAAATGCTTCAGTGGACAATTAAATTCGGTGAGTTGCATCAACATGGAAGTGAATTAAGATGATCTTTGGTTTGAACACACGCAACAGAATTCAATATTTTGGCGCAAAAAGTTCTATTCCACTCGCAAAGGTTTTGTAACTAAGAGCATTGTGCGGCCAATGGGCCTCCAGATGCAACGTCATCAGGTTATCGATTACATGTCCAAACCATCGAACACACTACAGTAGGAGGCCATAAGCGGGATCGGTCCAACATTCTTACAAACCTCACAGGCCTAGCACATGATGACAGATAAACTCTGACTAGGCAGTCCAACTGGAAAGTGACAACAGGATTTAAGCTGGGATCGGCTGTCCGACTTGTCCCGTTAGAGACTCTTGAAATGCTTCTCGGACAACGGCAGTCAAATGTTTGAAGTGCACAGGTTTCACAGTCAGAACCGGAAAGAAATTCTTGCAGCCTTGTACTACCGATTAGCAAAGTACATGTCACAATTAGGGACCGCCTGCAATATTCTGTTTCAAGTTGGTTAAGAGGGTTGATGACTGTGAACTAGCAGGAAAGCTATAGCTGTACATTCCGAGTCTACCACGTTTTCTAAAGAGACCACCCTAATGCCTTGGTTTGGAATTGTTTGTGTCCTCCACTATAGAATCATTGATAAAGTCACACAAGAAAGAGGAGACGGTCCCGGGGAACTTCACTGTAAGCGGGGGAAACTTTTGGTCACTGGGAGTGAGTGAACAGAGGGCACAGAAAATATTCGAACTTCTTGGACCAACGGCGACGAGACTAAATAATCTACAAAGTCGAAAGTTGCCGCGAAATTCGTGGAGACGGTGAGTGCGAATAAACGGAAGGCGTAACACTGTTCAAGCTTTTGAAACCAGATGTACGGTCCAGACATTTTCTATCCTATAGCCGAAGCAGTCACTTCGGGTGATTCTTTGAGGAAAGGCAGATATCATGGACTGCTCCCAGTGGTCGGCAAGTATCCTTCCTAAATTAGTCAAATCAAAAAGGTTACTTAACTGTTGTGGTGTCCAATAATCTAATAACCATTTGTACCATCTGAATTCGCACGCCCGAAATACGCTCAAATGTTTTCGAATCAGGTTTATTCATATTGCATCGCCCATATGAAAGATGAGTGCCAGGTGAGTCCAACTGACTGATAGCTCAGTAGTTAAAGCACCAAATCACTGCCCGGAAGGTCCGTGGTTCGAAACCGACCTCTGCCTCTCGACTTCCCCTGTCTAAGCTGGCAGTATCAAAGCCTTCGTGCTTCCTTTGGGTGGCATGGCAGCTAGGCACCGAAAGGGTATTACAGCTGAACGACTGACTACTCAATGTCTACAATAAGGATCGCGCCCTCACACTACAGAGCGTTTTCTCACCACAGTTACGCGAATCAGTAAGAGCAGGGAGAAAACCTGTATTACGACAGTGAGTAGACGCAATTTCGAAGGATGCTACTCCAGAAATCGAACCCTCACCCCCCCAACCCCCTACTAAAAAAGTATCATTGTTTGAGGAAGACTAACGAACTGAGGATTGTCATGATTAGTGCTGCCAAAAACCTGTTCGTGTCCACAGACATTATCCTCATACGATCACCATTTGAAGCATAATGGTCTATGCAAAATAAATAACTGAGTAAAATACGGGCCGATATCGATAGTCATATTAGTATGAGTCGTTCCAACCAAACCCAGCCAATGCGTTGGAGACGCCGAAAGTCAAACACCGAGTTTTCTCAAACTCTCTGCGCACAGTCAAGTTTCTGATCCATAAAGGATCGTACTAACGCAGCGTAAACTCAAGGCATGACAGACAAACTGACAGGGGAAAGATTAACGTAAATCCACACTTGCACATACGAGTTGGTGCAGGGCGCCTTCAGGAGATGCGCCTGACATCGCCATTATTTCTGACGACCAACTGGGTTAAAACTAGCCCTCTGATCAGGAAAAATGATCACCGTTGGACCTTTGGAAGAGTGGCACCGTTCGAGGGACTGTCTCAAAGTCAAGATATGGCAAATACATCCTCGGTCAGGGAGAGTGTCTCTTCTTGTAATCGATCGACCTGCCCTATAAAATGCCAGAGATCATCTTTGTTGCCATGTCTACAAGGCTGATGCAATGATAGTTTCCTTGGACATTCTTTCGCCACTTAAGAAATTCGGAGTTACCATCGAATCGTCCATTGGTATCGTCTATTGGTATTCCGTTTTCGTTCTAGAAGGATTGTCGTGGGATCGTCAGAGTGTTTACCAGAGATTTATCTTTTTTTAAAGGCCGGGTGCCCTACGAAGTTAACGCGATTATATGAATGATAAATCTCGCTTGATTTCTGTTGCAAATGAAAGACCGGTGTCAACGCTACATTCAGGTTCATTGAGACTGTGTTAGGGAAGCAGCTGAAGTGTTCTTTAAAGTGTTCAGTTCACTGCTCAAGACGACGATTCTGAAAATGAACTAGTGTTTCATTACTTCCTCAAATCGTTTAGCCGACACCAATCTACTTTTGGTCAGTTGACTGAATAACATGGACCAAATAACATGAACAGCATGGATACTACTTGTGGCAAAAAAAACTATCCATCTCCTGGATCTTACAGTTCACCGGAGTTCTCCATCATTCTTCAGGCCACTGGTTATCCAGCGTGCACCATCGTGGGACGCTCAACTCGACGAACTAGTCGGATAGCTTGAATAAAACTGCAACGTGGGTGAGATCTCTTGAGTTTGGTGAGGAGCTATTTCGGTCTATTTTACTGGGCGGAAACTTAGATAAAGATTATCCGCTGAGAAGCTGGTTGCTAGATTGTCCACTGTGGACATGTTGAAGGGCGGAGAGGGGATGAGAGTGAGGACCGGTGACAGAAGAGCTGAAAAGTTGTCCACGCCAAGGAAGGGTGTTTGCTTAGGATACTTCACCTCAAGCCGCTGACTTGAAATTGTGACCCACAAGGTAGTGTGTAGTAGGGTTTTATTAGGAGACTCCTCCCAAAGCCAGTGACTCAGCAGTCCGATCCGGGAGACTGGATTAACCCGAGGGTGAATGGAGTCGGGCACAGATGCCTTAGTCTTGATGCTACTGTGCATAGCAGATGCGTTTGCAGCTGCATCAGGCACTTGGAACGTTTTCATTGTATTTTGACCGTGTAGAATAATTTGCCCCGTGCACATTGACAATCTTCGAACGAGCGGAGTTTGTGGCTTTCTAATCCACCCTTCCCCAGGAGGAAACATTCCAGTTTCCATTAAATAGATATGCTGGTTGTCTGGAGGCAAAACCTTACTGCTTTCAAACTTTACCTCCAGACCATTTCGTACTATGATTAATCCTAGAACGCCAGTTAGCTTATCCTCGTCTGACCATTCCCTGTGGCTTTCTTGGCATGGTGGAACCTTGTGAAACGAAGTCCCGGCGACTGTAGCTAGTAGGGTTACCGCAGCAATCAAGCCCGAGGTGGCAGCTTCTGGTCGGGCTGCCGGTCCAGGAATCAAACCAGATGGCTGTGATTGTATGACGGATAGGACAGGAATTTAAAACCTGACCGAATTCAGTATAAATGTATTAGTCAAATAGTTTGAACGTTATGCACATCATATCGACTGGTATCCAACTAGTGCTCTGCTAGAATGTGTCCATAGAATCTCTGCCGTCAGATTCAAAATAGTTTACAATTTGTTTACTGCCATATGAATGCGAAGGGCCACGGATTTCCGAAAGTTCAGCAAAAGAGATCGACAAGTGAATTGAAGCCAAAGTGTGGATGGTGTGAATTTTACTCATGCCGAATGCGACATTGTAACGGATCAGAGAAAGCTCAGCCGAACGACGTTACAAGGATGGACATAAAAGCACTTTGGAGATTGAAGATTAGAAATCAAAACTCACACATCAGTCATAAAAACCAGGTGGGTGCGTAAGCTCCACACAACCGGAGGATAACACACTGTAACATTGTGCGCATGAGAGTCGAAGGCATATCCGTATCACTCCACCGTAGTGAGATTCACAATTACCGCAAACACACCATGCCCTTGATGACAGCCGCCCGTGGCTGAAACCAGGGTAACACAATTCAATAGCTCTCGTTTGAGGATAATGGCCAAGTGTCTTTCGAAATCATACTTTCGGCAGCATTGTGACGCAGTTCAACTATCGAGCATAAAAAGGATGTTTGAAAACTAGGCTCACCTACTGCGACACAATCCGGTGTAGCGTGAAATACCATCATCATTGTTTGACCGGTGGACTGAACTTTTCGTAATTCTATAGGCATGCCGAAAGTCAGTCAGCCAAGTGGTGATTCCCAAGCTGTTTCGGCAATATTCCTCCATTTTACCGGCTTTTTCTCGCTCCATGGGTTTGGAGGCTTCCAACTTTCAACTTCCAGACCTTATCGGTGTTTCTCACAAAAGGTTGTTTATTCCATTACTCTGAATAACCAGTTATTCCAGTTGTTTAATAACCTTCCTTGATCCAAACACAGAATTCATCGATTTTTTCTTACTCATTAGGGCATAGTACGTCCTTTTTTACTCAAAATAGTAAAAAATAAAATAAATAAATCATTCCGCCGTAGCATCCTTTCGGTGCCTAGCTGCCATGCCACACGAAGGAGGCACGTGGGCTGGGATACTGCCAGGTTGCCCAAGCCTAGACAGGGGAAGTCAAGAGGCAGAGGTCGGGTTCGAACCACGGACCACCTTCCGGTCAGTAACTTCGCGCTCTGACCACTTGGGCCATCTCGTTCAAAATAGTATTCCTTAGCATGTCACTGGAAGCGCCTCTCTGTAATGACTGCAGTGTTTTTTCGAACTCAATACGAGATGGCCTCATCTTCCGTGATTTTGACAAAGCTATTATGATTGAATTCCTCATTGCAGCTCATGCTTCCCCGGTAGCCAGCGAGTTGTTGTGCTGAAAAAATCACTTGTTGCATTTTTCTAAGGCTGCTTGCACCTCGAGCAGCTGCACACACTGACTTCAAACGGCTTTCATGCTCAAGAATGTACACCGAAATTCATTACATGCCTTGTATGACACGCCTTAAAGTAAGGGTTTGTGGCAAGAAAGCGAGCTGCCGACCATCATAACACCGACATAAACCTGTCATCACGTGCAGGTAACTTCTGATGGTCTATAGATCAGCTACTGACTTATTTCATTTGATGAACGATTAGATACAAGTTCGACTCACTGTGCAGACATGGAAATGACTCAGATGGAGACACACTCGAAAAAACTTTATTTTTAAAAACGTTCGGATGTAACGCTCTTTCGGTGCCTAACTGCCATGCCACCCGAAGGAAGCTGGGGTACCACAAAGTTATCCAAGCATAGACAGGAGAAGTCGAGACTGAGAGGCCGGGTTCGAACCACGGACCCTCCGGTCAGTAAATTCGAACTCTAACCACTTGAGCCATTTCGCCCGACACACTCGAAATGAACTTATAACTCAGAGGGATAGGTGTGGTTCAACTGTGGTACCCTTTCGGTGCCCAGTTGCCATGCCACCCGAAAAAAGCACGATGGTCGACGTACCATCACTTTCGTTCAAATAGGACAAAAACTAATGTGAGCAGATAACAGGACACACCGTGGTTTTACCAGAAACTACTCCCAGCACATAGATTTATGGGAAATGGGAAACGAAGCTGAATATCACGGACCACACGGGAAGTATTATTTTTGTTGTATCCAGAGTCTGTGGAAGAGAACGTTGCCATGGTCACCTGTCTCGTTTCTCACTTAAGATCCGGAAGAGGACAGTTCAGGCAGCCACAATCATCGTCCCTAAGCATCACTTGGCTGCATAGTTAAGGCGTGGGATGGACTTCAAGAGTCGACCACTCAACCACGTGATAAAATAGGCTCCGGCTCATACACGTTTTCCAATTAACGCCCTTAGATCGGGCCGTTAGCACCTCGCCATGTAAAACGTGTCCTAAACAAATGGGATTTCCTGTAGCTTCCGGCACAGGAACACACTCAGTTTCTTTGTATGATTTCATGGTCCCTTGTAGTTTCTATCCAAAAGGTTGACCACATATCTGCGTCTGCAGAAAAAAATAAGCTGGAGTGTTAGGATCTGTGAATCACGCCTCAGTATAAAGGCCAATAGCACGTAACTCAGGAGAGAGTGGTTCCCAAGTAGCTAAGCAGACCCAGCTAGCCACTGTCATTTTCAATGAATTAAACTATCTCGTAAATCTTGTTGAACGTGTCATCCGATGCCAGTAACGATAATCAACTCACCGATGTCGATTGGTATCTACCAGAGACTTCTTCTCCAGTCGTTTTGCAGGCTTGCTTTGTCCGTTTTCTAGCCCATCAATCGAATCGGTGCCAACGGTCTGAGTGGACAACTTGAACAAATCTTCAAGACGTTTGGTATCAATATGATTCAAAACTTCTTCATCGTTCATCCCAACAAAAACGGTACCTCGAAGTTGTTGACTTCGTAACACGGTCCAGTTGACCAAAGGTAGTTTGAACCGGGTTTGTATGGGGGGTCGGATGGGAACAGCTACGGATGAGTGGAAAAGGAATAGTAATCGCGTTCGATAAGATTAGTATACGAAGTAATTCTGGAATCACGTACAACTATGCATAGATAAATATGATAGTCCACCAGTACAGGATATTACCCCTCTGATAAAGACTTACTTGAAAAGTAACTTGATGGTAACGGAAGACTCAACTGAATTGTACGTGAAACTTTCCTGAATTGAATAGGTTTCACAAAGGTCGCCTCATACTCCAATTGAAAAGATGAGATAAGATATCGAAGTGTTTCACGAGTAATCATAAAAGTGATGGCAACTAGAACAACTACCGGCTTCGTTCTTCTTGGGGAGTCCCCGAGTCTTCCAGTGAGCCAGAGGAAGGGCAAAACCCATGGCGGGCTGCCCAGAGCTTTCACCGACATTATTAGCGGTATTGATAATAACAACAATAATAACAACAACCAACGAAAGATACCAGAAAGAAGTATACAGTTGTCAGCTGTTACGGGGCGAGGTTTTCTACACAAATAAAGCCATATTTCCCTTCTCTGAAGAGATCGGCCAAAAGCGGTCTGTTTAGGGAGGGTCTTTAACAATGAATCACTGGGAAATGGTTGTTCTCTGCCGAAAGAGATAACTCAACCATAAGCTGTGTTGCAAATTTTCGGGACTATCGGCACCTCGGGGTGACAATGTGACAATGAAGTAGATAAAACTCGAAAAGCAGCTCAAGTTGAAAGAATTGACTCATTCATGCACGTCCAAATGGCAAAGACTCGAAACAACGTTGATCTAGTAAGGATGACCAGGGGGAAAATAGTTAGGGTATAGCCAGTGCGACGACAGACAGCATCCCAAATGTGTCACTTACTATTACGTCTGAGTGCCAAGATTGGTTTAACACACTTTGCTGACAATGGTACATTGTCTGGCCACAGCGCACTGTCCAGAAAGAACAGCGCGACCTTTATACGCAACGAACACTGCAGGTTTTCTAACTGCGTAAAACGACAACGTATGGTCGGTTGTCAAAGCGTATAAACAGACGTGTGTCCTTCAGCGTCCTCCATAGTAGAATAAAAGTCAGACTGCACCCCAGCGTTCCAAGGACCGATACTCTGTGTTTCTGATGCCGTGCAAGGGAAAATAACTTATCAGTTTGAAGCCACGGCCAACTCAATAAAAAGTCTTCTGTACGAGTTGTTAATCAAGTATGGCGAACAAGCCCCGTTAACGAACAATCTAACCAGCTTGTTGAGAAAATCAGCTAATTTGCCCGTTAAAATATTCCAGCTTAAATCGGTCTGTGCGCTGCAAAATGCACCCAGATCAAGTTGAAAGTCACCGGTGAATAGCTGCTCATCTTAGCATGAGTAATTAACAGACACACGCCATATGACCGCCCAAAAACCAGTTACTTTAAGAGGTCCATGAGTGGAGGCCCAAATACTCACCATCTTCTTCACGAAAAAAAGAATCTCAGGGAGTAACAACTCGAACATCAGGCTGTAAAAGAACTCGGCAACTGCGGTCTAAGAAGGGTGAAACTGACCGCGAGCTGCCAAAGAATTTTCAGCAACCTTGCGACTAGTGTTCTGTCAAGAGAATACCAAAGCATTTCATTGACGGTAGATCGTTCTCCGGGTGGACAACGGTGAGCCTATGGGACGTCCACCGCACTTCACTAGTGATTTAATCTCATGCAGATAGCTTTTGTAGCCATGCGATCGTTCACTCCGACCGCAGTGGGTACTGCGTACGTTCAAAAGCTCCGCAATTTGGCTTTCAGTTCCCGGGACAATATGGAAAATTGGTAGGCTCGTTACTTGACCATATTCGAAAGAGAACAGGGTTAATGTAAGTAAATGTCAGTAGCTACATTATCGCACGCCGGTTGACCAGCCTCTATCTCGTTCAGTTGGGACACCCTATTGAAGCACCACCAGCTTATGCAACCATAGACAGGAGTGATCGAATAGCCAGCATGGGGTTCAAACCATAGACTTTCGGTCAGCAATTTCGTGCTCTTGAAATCTGAACATGGGGGGGTGCGAGATGGCTCAAGTGGTTAGAGGGCGAATTTACCGACCGAAAGGTGGTCCGTGGTTCGAACCCGACTTCCGCCTCTTGACTTCCCCTGTCTAGGCTTGGGCGACCTGGCAGTATCTCAGTCCTCATGCTCCCTTCGGGTGGCATGGCAGCTAGGCACCGGAAGCTGAACGATTTTTTTACTATTTCTATCTCAAGTTATTTCCTCAGGCGAACTAAAAACCAAGCCTAACTGTTGATTAAGTTGATCAGGTCGAATAAATAAAAATTAAATGATATCTTTTTGTATTGTAGCAGCAACGGTAACCACAGCGTTGGTCACTGTATAACTGCCAATTGAGCCCTCAATGGCGCTCGTTCATCCAAGCTACTGCCTTAAATGCATAGCTCCCTTCCAAATTCCCAGTCCACTAACAACCTTGTATTTACGCAACAATTTATCAGCTCCCGCCTCCAATACGCAGCTACCTACCACACCTCCCCAAATCATCGGTGGACAAAACTGTGGCAGCTACAACCACTGTACAAGTACGCGGCTCTTACAGCTGAAAACGATGATAATAATATCAACCGCGATATCTAGGCTAGTAGTAAAGAACGCTGTTGGTAGGCGAGCTGAACCACCTCCTCGTGGTGCCGACCGGGTAGCCTGGACGTCTGTCTGGGTGAGATAAGAGTTCAGCAACTCCAGACAGGGCCAACCACCCCGTTTGGTTTCAATGTGCTGGTTAATTTCGACAATGTATACTACGAATCATCTGGCGCCTCCGCACCAGTTCCAACCAGTACACAGGAGAGACTCGTTGGGTTCACGTGTGAGGAATGTGGCAAGT